TCTCTTCTCTTCTCTTCTCTTCTCTTCTCTTCTCTTCTCTTCTCTTCCCTTCCCTTCCCTTCCCTTCCCTTCCCTTTCTCCTCTTCCTTCTCCTTCCCTTCTCTCCCTTTTCCCACTCCCCCTTTCCTTCTCCTCTCCCCTCCTTCCTCCCGCTCCCCTTCTTTCTTCTTCCCTTCTACCCTTTCTCCTTCCTCTTCCTTAGCCTTCAGTTTCTCCTCTTTCCAATTTCTCCAGATTCTTATAGAGAACTGGACTTACCACCGTTCCTTTTAACGATCCTTCGAAGTTAAACAACATTGTAAAAAAAAAAATAATGAACGATTTTCACACTCAGGACTGTTACAGCATCCCCATGGTCACGTGATCAACATTTAAATGCTTGGCAACTGACTCACACCTTCAAAACGACACTATAGAGCACAGTACACCAGAACAACTTGACACAAGGACAGTTTTGACTCAGCTGACACAGATAGTCCTCAGCTTAGAAACACAACTGGGGCCAAAGTTTCGGTCACTAAAGCAGACATGCCCAATACTATGATCCTTTTTGCCATGGTGGTTAAGCCAATCATCGCAGTTGTTAAGCGAATCACATGGCCATTAAGCGAATCTGGCTTCCCTCCCATTGACTTCGCTTGTCAGAAGCTGGCAGGGAAGGTTGCAAAAGGACAGGGGTGGATCTTACCTCCAGTGGCAAGACGTTCCAGAGGTCAAGGGGCCATGGCAGAAAAATATCTTCTCCTGGACCCTGCTAAGCTAGCTGAAATTTCTTGGCTGATCAAAATCCAGAGCATGGTGATGTGATAGCCGTCTTCCAATAGCTCAGGGGTTGCTCCAAAGAAGAGGGAGTCAAGCTATTCTCCAAAGCCCCTGAAGGCAGGACCAGAAGCAACGGATGGAAACTCATCAAGGAGAGAAGCAACTTGGAAGTAAGGAGGGATTTCCTGACAATTTCTCACCTGTTCTTTCTCTTCTAGGTATCGGAGACTGTCACGAGGCAGCCCTTGACTTTGTAGCATTCCAACTGAAGTCCCCACGAAAGCTCCAGCGTCTCTATCGGAAGCTCACTCAAACTCCTCCTGGGACGCAGAAGAAGAAGCCCATCGAAGAGCTGCAGGTGGACTTCCATAGCTACTTGCTCCAGCTGAAGAACCTGCATGGAAAGGAGCGAGCGTGGGATATGGTCCAGGTAGTCCTGGTCAAGATGAAGTTGGAGCACATTCTGAAGAACGTCCAGAGGAGTTTCTCTGTGGGTTTATGAGACCCCCGCTCCGTACGGGGCTTTATTATATCGTCCTAAGAATAGGTATCAGATGGTTGGTCATGGATTTGTGGACTTGGATCGTTGAGTTCAACTATTTATTTAAAAAAAAAAAAAGATAGCTTTTTTAAAATGAAAAATCAGTTTTGGAATCCTCTGTTAGGTATTTGGTTTGAAGAAAAGGGGCCGCAGAAAGGAAGGGGGCCCCCACTTCGTTCAGCTTCTCTAAAATGCGGTCTACACGACCGTGCGCAGACTGCACTAGGGAAACAGAACAGACCCCTCTCCATCCTTGGACCAAGCAGCTGCGTTCCAGAAGGAGCCGCCATTTTGGAAGGGCACAATTCTTAGCAGCTGCTCAGAAAATGGCGTCACAACCATAGGGTCCAGGGATGTTGAGTGGCCTTCCCTCCTTCTCCAACATAAGATCTGGAGATCTTCTGAGGCTCTTCCAGAGATCTTCCGAGGATCTTTTGGAGATCTTCTGAGGATCTTCTAGAGATATGGAGATCTTCTGTGAGACTTCTGGAGATCTTCTAAGGATCTTCTGGAGATTTGGAGATCTTCTGAGGATCTTCTGGAGATCATCTGAGGATCTTCTGGAGATCTTCTGAGGATCTTCTGGAGATCTGAGGATCTTCTGGAGATCTTCTAGAGATCTGGAGATCTTCTATGAGACTTCTGGAGATCTTCTAAGGCTCTTCTGGAGATTTTGAGATATTCTGAGGATCTTCTAGAGATCTGAGGATCATCTGGAGAACTTCTGTGGATCTTCTAAAGATCTGGAGATCTTCTGTGAGACTTCTGGAGATCTTCTAAGGCTCTTCTGGAGATTTTGAGATCTTCTGTGGAACTTCTGGAGTTCTTCAAAAGATAGGTCCTGGACAGGTGACAGGGTGTGGGAGGGTAGGTGGGGCCCACTGGTCTGGGAAACAAGTCCAAGGCCTGCAAGGACCTGGTGGGACAGGGTGGGAGGGAGATAGGGAGGGGAGGGAGTAGAGGGAGTAGATGCTGCAGTGTCCCTGGGATCGGTTGTAAGGGCGAACAATCCCAAGGCTGCCATAACTTTGAAACATGGTCATAAATAACGTGTGTGTGTGTGTGTGTGTGTTTGGGGGAAATCTGCCCTAACTTTGAATGGTCACCAAGTGACCAGTCATAAGTGGAGAACTACCTCTGCAAATGTCTATTTGAGGGGGAAATGCACATGTTTTGACCCTGTAGATCAGTGGCCTCCACCCCGACTTTTCAGGCACCAGGTTCCGTGGTATGTCCACGGGCCGTAGAGGCCCTGGTTTCATGGGCTGCCTGCATCCTATGGATGGGACTTTGCCTGGCCCGGTTTCTAGCATGCCGTACACCAGTGCCAGACCCCATGGATTGGAGGTCGGGCGACCCCGGTTCCATCAGGATGAAGGTTGTCCAAGGGTTGGGAAGAACCCAGATCCTGTTGGGTCGACACGCTAAACTGCCCTTCCCTTCCGAGGTCATTATTATACAGCCCTATAATCCGTGATGGCGAACTTATGGCACGTGGTGTCAGAGGTGACACGCAGAGCCCTCTCTGTGAGTGCATGCGCCATCACCAACTGCTCTTCTGTGCATGTGTGCCAGCCAGCTGGTCTTTGCAGGCGCCAGAGTGCCGGAAAAAAGCCTGAAAAACAGCCAAAAACCCCAGGCCATTTTTGGACCTTTTTCATGCCATTCTTCAGGCTGTTTTCAGGCCATTTCTTGGGCCCAAAACAGCCTGAAACGGCCCAAAAAACTGCCTGAAAATAGCCTTAAAAAGGCCCCCCAAATGGCCTGAAAACGACCCGAAAAGTGGCCAAAAAACAGGCATGTGTGCACTGGCCAGCTGGTCTTTGGATTTCCGGCGTTCGGCACGTACATTCCAATTTGGGCACTTGGTGTCGAAAATGTTCGCAATCACTGCCCTCTGTCTAGGGATTAGATGGAGGGATTGTGTTTTTCAGAAATTAAAGTATTTTCAATTGGTTTGCTTCTAGGAATTCAGTGTGTTTTTCCAGAATATGAATTTCTCAGGGTTGGAGGACCACCCCGAGAAACCAGGAACAGGCAGTCCTCGACTTACGACTATTTGCTCAGCAACCGTTCAAAGTTAACAACAGCACTGGGGGCAGAGGGGCAGGGGGAAGCGGTTTACATCCAATCCTTGCACTTACCACCGGTGCAGCATCCCCGTGGTCACAGGATCAAAATTCAGGTGCTTGGCAACCGGCTCGTATTTATGACGGTTGCAGCATCCCGGGGTGTGTGTGTGTCACACAATTGCTATTTGTGACCTTCCCAGTGGGTGTTCAACAAGCAGACTCAAAGAAGAGAAGCTGGCTTAACGGCTGTGTGATGTGCTTAATGACCGTGCCGTTTGCTTAAAAATAAAAGTGGCGCAGTGGTCAGAGTGCAGTACTGCAGGCTACTTCTGCTGACTGCTGGCTGCTTGCAATTTGGTAATTCAAATCTTACCAGGCTCAAGTCATGACTCAGCCTTCTGTCCTTCCAAGGTGGGTAAAATGAGGACCCAGATTGTTGGGGGCAAGAGGCTGACTCTGTAAAACCGCTTAGAGCTATAAAGCACTGTGAAGCGGTATATACGTTTAAGGGCTATTCCTTCCTTTTTTCCTTCCTTCCTTCCTTCCTTCCTTCCTTCCTTCCTTCCTTCCTTCCTTCCTTCCTTCCGTCCGTCCTTTCCTCCCAGTGGATAGAATGCAGTATTGCAGGCTGCTCTGCCCACTGCCAACAGTTCGATCTGACTGACTGGCTCAAGGTTGACTCAGCCTTCCATCCTTCCAAGGTTGGTAAAATGAGGACCCAGATTGCTGGGGGTAAGAGGCTGGCTCTGTAAACCGCTTAGAGAGAGTTCTAAAAGCACTGTAAAGCTGTATATAAGTGCTATTGCTATTAAGGACCACACACCCCAAAGTTTGTAAAATTGGGTACGGCTTACTTAATGACCCCCATTGCTTGCTGACAGACGTTTCTGATCCCAATTTGGTCGTAAATGGAGGACTACCCAGCTCTGAGAAATACAAATGTTTTGCGGTGTTTTTGCGATCCTTTCCAAGGGCACCAGTTACAGGCAGCTGAACCGAACATCACTGTGTGTCTGTGTTTCTGTATTGTAACTTCTGCGTTGTGCGTGTGTCTGCATGTCTACGTTTCTTAGTCTAATCCTGGTCTGTTACATTTCAAGCAAAGATAGTGTCTCTACTTGAACTGTGGTGTGTGCCTCTTCCTTTTCAATGCAGGAGCTTCCGAGAAGCATTTTTGTGTTCGACCGCTTTTTTACATCCAGGGAAAGATTACAACAGTTGTGTAGCAAACCAAGGGAGGAAGTTGGATGGAGCAAGTGGTTGCAGTCGGCCCTGAGCCATGTTGAAGGTGGTTGGTCATCTCCAGGTTACGCTGAAGCTCCTCCTAATAGCTGAAGAACAGAGCAAGTGATTTGGGGAGTTGTACCCCAAAATATTGGAGAGCCCCAAATATTTGGGGAATAGGATGTCTGATTTACTAGACCAAAGTTTCTCCATCTTTAGAAGAGAACATGAGTAGCTTGTCGCTGAATTGTGGGATCCTTGTGCTTTCTGAGCTGGGTGGCTTTCTTGCAGAAATTTCATGGAGGAGGAGGAGGAGGAGGAGGAGGAGGAGGAGGAGAACAATTGTAGGGTCCTTGGTGCTCTCTGAGCTTGGTAGTTTTCCTTACAGACGTTTCATGGTCCAACTAGGTAACATCATCAGTGCTTGAAAGGAGTGGGATATACACTGATGATGTTACCTAGTTGGATCACAAAATGTCTCCAAGAGAACAACCAAGGACTTGGAGAATATCAAGGTCTCCATAGTTTCTCAACTGTGCTGGATGGGAAATTATGGGAGTTGTCCGTGTTGAGAAGGTTGAGAAACCCTGTAGTAGAGGCCCTCTTCCACTTATCATACATGAAATGGCCAGGCCAAAGAGTTGGCGGTCTTCCTTTCCATTGTCAAACCTTAAACTCACTTCCTGAGTCAATCCCAGTTTCTGAGCTGGGGGGAAACAGCATGGGAATTGGATCCAAGGGTGAGATTCTACCGGTTCGACCTGGTTCGGGCAAACTGGTTCACTCTGACAATCAGCTGTTGGGCTCACCCGCCTGCCCCAGATCTAGTCTGTGCTTTATCTCAAGGTTTTCCAGCTTCCAGATTTTGAGTTTGCTTGCTTGTCAAATTTTATGTGACAGACTCAGGCAGCAGATTGCAGAAAGGTGAATCTCTGAGTGAATCTGTGATTCTGTGAGCAACTCAATCTGTCTGCCTGCTTTGCCTGATTTTGGGTAAAATTGCTCTTTTTTTAATAAAAAATTTCAATATTTACATACATGGTGTGTTGTGAGTTAATTTTGTGAGCTTGCTTGCTAGCAAATTTTATGAGTTCGCTTGCAAGCAAATGGTATGTGACAGACTCAGGCAGCAGATTGCAGAAAGATCGATCTCTGAGTGAATCTGTGATTCTGTGAGCAACTCAATCTGCCTGCCTGCTTTGCCTGATTTGAGGTAAAAGTTGCTCTTTTTTTAAATAAAAAATTCAATACTTACATAAATATTTACATACAAGCCATGCCTAGCCAGTCACATGACCCTCAAGCCACACCCACAAATTAGGCCACGCCCACAGAATCAGTTGTTAAGAAATTTGAATCCCACCCTGACAACCCCTGATATTAGTGGCTCCATCACACTTCTTTGGAGACTCCCAGCACCACACAACAAATTCAGGGGAGAAGAATCGGCCGGGGGTGGGGGGTTGGCTTCAAGAAAGATGGACCTTGAGGTGAACAGATGGACCTTCTCCAGCACCTCATGGACTTACTGTGTCTCACCAAAAGCTCCTTATACTTGGTCATTCATGAAGAGCCACTCTTGTTCTCTCTACTCTGCCCGCCAGAAAATGTCTTTCTGCATTGAAAGCTGCTCCGTCTGCCTAATGGGTGTTTTAGTTTGTAAAGTTGTCTACTTACAGGTAGTCCGCGACCTGTTCATTTAGTGACCGTTCCAAAGTTACAAGGGCACTGAAAAAAAAGTGACTTGTGGCCATTTTTCACACTTAAAAACCCCCATTGCTCTATTCCCCAGGGTCACGTGATCAACGTTGGGAAGCTTGGCCACTGAATCATTTTTATGACGGTTGCAGTGTCCTTGGGTGGTGGTCATGTGATCTCCTTTTGCCACCTTCTGACCAGCAAAGTCAGCAAGGAAGCCAGATTCTCTTCACCGCCACGTGACTAACTCAACGACTGCAACAATTCCCTTAATAACTGTGGCATGGAAGGTCATCAAATGGGGGAAAGTTCGCTTAATTGTCTCGCTTAGCAGCAGACATTTTGGGCTCACCTTTGGTCGTACGTCGAGAGCTACCTTTCCCT